TTTTTTTTTTTTTTTTTTTTCAAAATCAACTCTGCCTTATTCAGGGTGAGACATTCTGTGTTCTCATTCTTATTAGCTTATCTTTGTGTATTTAATTTTTTTTCCATTGGTACATATTTGTAGTACGTACACAATGACTGTTTTCATCTTGGGACTTTATACATGCACATAACACATCTTAATTCTTTTTTACTTCCTATTTCCCTCTCTTCCGCGTTCTTTGTTTTGTTAGGCATATTTTAAGTTCTTAAGTAGTACTGTATTTTCTTTTTGTATTTCTTGCTCTTTTTTTGTTTTAAATTTAAGGTCAGAAATGAATATCCTTATTACAACTTTTAAGGCTTCTTCAGTTTTTTTTTCCGTGTATGTTATTTTTTCCATGTTGTAAAGTGATCTGATGTTATGATTTATTAAGATGCAAGTGTATGTCATGAGCTGCATATCATAGTGTATAGTTTTTGATACTTGTTTATTACAATCTGTACTATTTTTTTAATTTGCATTGTCACCAAGTTGTTCAGCTCCCTCTTTCCTGTGATATTTTACTTTTTTTTCAGCTTTAATTGAGTTTATTGGTACATTTTAGGGATACAGTACAGTTACATTCATTGTTGGGATCTTGTACCTCTACATGACAAGTCTTGATTCTCATTTTTTCCCCTTACCCCTGCCCTCCCTTCACCCCCTCCTCTCCTCCCCATCTACAAACACTTTATTTCCATCTTTTCATTATCTCACATTTTTTTCTTTTCCCTTATTACCCTTCCCCTACCCATCCCACCTTCCCTACACATTTAGCTCCTTTCTTCCCATTTCTAAATGTCAGTAATCTTATTAGGATCTTATGTATTATTGCAGATTATTCACACCAGAGAAACTATTTGGTATTTACACATGTGTGACTTATTTATTTCACTTAGGAGTATATCTTCAATATGCATCCATTTTCCTATGAATGAATCTATTTTCTCGTTCTTTATGGCTGAGTAATAATATTCCATTTTATAGAAAAACCACATCTTCTTTATCCAGTTTCCAACAGATGGGCAAATGGGCTGTTTCCAAGATTTAGCTATTACAAACTGTGCCGCTATAAACATGGGTGCACATACTTTTCTGTGATATGATTCTTTTAGTTCTTTTGGAAAGATACCCAGCAGAGGGATGGCTGGGTCAAATGGAACCTCCAGTCCAAGCTCTTTGAGATATCTCCATATTGATTTCCACAGTGGTTGCACCAGTCTGCACTCCCACCAACAATGAAGAAGGGTTCCTTTCTCCCCACATCCCCGCCAACATTTGTTATTGTGTGATTTCTTGATAGCAGCCTATTTTACATTTTTTGAAATGCTGGGAATTGAACTCAAGGCCTTTGTACTGAGCTGCATCCCTACCCTTTTTTTTTGAGTAGGGGTACTGGGATAAAACTCGGGTCCTTGCTCTTGTGAGGCAGGTTCCAGAACCACTGAGCTAAATCCCTGGCCCTGTTTTTTATTTGAGGCAGAGTCTGGCTGAGTTGCCCAGCCTGTGCTCAAACTTGTGATTTTCCTATCTTGGCCTCCCACAGTGCTGGAATTACAGGCATGCATCACCACGCCTTCAACATCTTATAACTTGTTTTTCTTTGGAGACAGGGTCTTACTGTATAGTTTAAGACAGCCTTGAATTTGTTGGTGACCCTCCTGTCTCAGCCTCCCCAATGCTGAGATTACAGGAAAGAGCCACCATACCCAGTTTAGATTTTATAGTTCTTATACTCTGAAGTCTTTTTTCCCCTTGAATAGTTGGATGATTTAATCACAAAGTTTATGGTCTTTTCTCCCTACTTGCTTGTGAGTGCCATAAAAATCTAGGGCCTCCTTTGCTATTTCTTTGTGTTTCCCACAAATACAGCGGTTCTCAAGCCTCTCATAGGTTGTTCTGTAGTGTGGTCCATGGGCCAAAGCACCAGTGTCTACCACAGAGGCACCTGTGGAAGATGTGGATTCATGAGCCTCACCCACTGTTCACTCAGGAGCTCTGAGTGCGTGGCCAGTGATTCTGACACACACAAGGTTGAGAACTACCACATTCATTTTTTTGTCTCTATAGCTTAATCACAAAATGTTTCCAGTGCAAATGAGAGGGAAGACCTCAAACTAAAACCTCTGCTCACGCATGTGCAGATTCTTGTTCATAAAAAATGCAGTGGTTCTGCAAACGCTTTGTCAGATGTGTCCAGATCTTTGGTCATCTTCATTTCTGTACATGCAGCTACTTAGTACGTTAAAAATAGGCTTTAAAAAAAAAAAGAATTACGGAAAAGTTGAGCAGGTGGCATAAGAGTTCCCATCCCGCTTCTATTGACATTTTGGGAGGTGCTGGTCAGTTGTAGTGTGTGACATTGCTCTGTTGGAATCGAGTTTTCCTTGCGATTGGATGGGGCTGTGGGTTTTGGGGACACTTAGTCTGTGTCTAGTTGTTGTGATGTTTGTAACACAGTTTGTGATGTTACCATTTTTCTCAGGTGGCACAGAGTTGGGATTAGAAATGGTGAGACATGTCACTTCTGCCTTTGTCAGGCTCTTTGTAGGGAGAAGCAGGATGCTTCCTCGTGAATAGAGATACTTTGAGCAGCCAAAATGAAAAGTACAATGTCTTTCATCGACTTTTGCTTACATTTCCCCCTCTGTTCTGCTTGTTTTTCTTCATGTTGTAACCTCTCCCTTTTATTTCAGGCATCAGATGCGCTCTTCCTGTATTCTCCATTAAACCCCTGACTCCCAATTCTTAACAGTGGTTTTATCCTAAGAGTCACTGGGGAGGGGTGAGGTAGGGACCAATGAGAGAAAGAAGGGATCGATGTTCCTTGGGCCCTGCTTGTTCCTACCTGGAAACAACATTGGCAGCATTTGTATTTGGCATATGTCTTCTCTGATTAATTTTACAAGGAATGGTACAGATGTGGTCCCATTGTCACAGTTCCTGCATGAGGTGTAGATATTATTGTCTCTGTTCTGTAGATGAGGAAACTTGAGTTCAGAAACTTGATGACTAACCTAGAATTGCATAGCTAAAGATGGAATAGAATCTGGGTTCTTTTGCCTCCAGATTCCGTGCATTTGGTAGTCATTTTACTAAGTATGTATGGTATAACATCCTTGCTGTCTCTTTCTGAGACATTTCTACTAAGTCGAAATGTTTCCTGCTTCCCTGTAGAGATTATATACGAGTATTGTTGGAGTCCATCTCGTTTTTTACAAGAGAGGAGTAACACTTAGTATAGCACTAAGCTCTGTCACTGTCACTTTGGGTAAGCGTCATGGCACAGTGGGAGAAACAGTGGAGGTGGTGGTCTACCTGTCAGCACATAGATGGTTACCTGATGAGTACTGTTCTGCCGTTCAAGAGGGTAAAGTAGAGTCATTTGTAGGAAAGTGGATGGACCTTGAGACCATAATGTTAAGTGAAATAAATCAGACGCAAAAGCTTAATTATCACACGGCTTCTTTTGTACAAGAAACTCAAAAAATAATTTAAAGTGCAAAATAAAAAAAGGGAGATAGATCCTCTGCAAGTGGGAAGGGGCGCTAGAGGTGGAAAGAGGAGGGAAGGAAGGAGGGTGGGCGAAGTACAAAGAATCAAGGTGTATTATGTATCAGCAGCAGTGCCCCATGATGACTGTCGTCATTGTGTAGTGCAAACAGGTACAAGCGAACATAAAAACAAAGTATTTGTAAATACAGAAGGGAGGAGGGGGTGAAGGGAGGACAGGGGTAAGGGGAAAGAACGAGAACCAAGACCTGGCACGTAGAGGTACAAGATCCCAGTGATGAGTGTAACTGTGCTGTGTACCTAAAATGTACCAATAAACTCAATGAGAAAAGTAAATAAATACATATATACATACAACAGTCAAATAGGAAAGAAAAAAAACAAAACAGGCAGTGGGCTGAGAGCGGGGAGACTGGGCTCTTACCTGTTCTAGTTCTGTAGATTCATGTAAATCATTTTGCTTTAACTTGTTTGATTCGCAGTATGATTTCTTCTGTCTTCTTTCTGTGTATAAATCTTGGAATGCTTGCTGCTGTCTTGTTCTTTTTAGATAACACCTCGTAGCTGACTTATTTAGTGTGTAATCTGTTACTGTTTCTTAATCTTTCATTTTTATTTGGCCTAATTAATCTTGGTTCATCCTTATTCTATTGTGTAACTTGGCCTAATTTCATTTAATTCTGGAGATATTTTGTTATTCAGAAATACAATGGTGGAAAGGATTTTTGCTGTGTATTGTTATGTTACTGACCACAGATTTGTTACTCTGATTGCCAGCTACAGTCCACTGATCCACTTGAGCTAGGAAAAGCAGTGAGGGTTGAAACATTTGAATAGTAAGTTTCTTGTCTTTGAGTCTTTTCAATAATGTTCTCTATTTGTTCTTTTATTATTTCTTCTTTATGTTTTGCTGGGCTGGGGATTGAATCCAGGACTTCATACATACTAGACATGCACTGTATATCCCCTGGCCTGTTGCTTTGTTTTTTTTTGCGTGTGTGCTTATTTGTGTGGTACCGGGGATTGAACTCAGGACGTTGAGCTTGTGAGGCAGGTGCGTCCCACTGAGCTAAATCCCTGGCCCCTGTTTGTTCTTAATTCCACCCTGTAGTTGAGTACTGCTTTAGATTTCTTTAGTTAATAAAACAGTGTTCTTCCATAATAAAAAATAATGAGCTGGGTTACTTGGATTAGAATTATGCAGGACCAGCTAGGCACAGTTGTGCATGCTGTGACCCCAACACCCTTGAGAGGCTGATCATTTGATTAAGGGACTAAAACAATGGCTCCTCAACACAGTAAATTCTTGAAGTCCAATGACCCCTTTGATCTGCTTTACTTGCTGGGCCCTGTAGCCTGCTTTGAGAAGTCACTTCTCTGGCTTGTGAGGGTAGTTCAACCCCTGTGTTAGCCATCTTAATGTTATCAGTTTGGCCTGATTAATAACTACTTTTAACTTGAGTTAAAAACATTTTGTTCTCACTTTTATTCACAATTTATATTTTTCAAGCTGATTCTCTGTAGCAAAATGTTAAAGTTAGTGTACAGAGCGGTTCGTGAGCTTCAGTCATGATTTAGCATAGTACAATATCTCATCAATAATTGTTTCTGACGTACCAGAACTAGTTGAAATATTTTTAAAAACATTAAACAATAACTTAAAAAATTAGATACAGTATTTAATTTTTTCCTGTATGAGTTACCCCAACATATGCTATTAATCTGTAATAAATATTAAACTTTAATATATGCAATAATCATTAAGATAAGCAGTTATTTAGAAAGTAAACAAGAAAAGTTACAAGGACTATATTTCAGACGAATACAATTAAATTTACATATGGTTTTTCCTTAAATTAGCTAGACCTTAGAAACACTGAGAGTATTATTACCGAGCTTTAAAAATTTGCCTGTTTGCTTTAAAAAACTGTTAAAGATTGGCAATATGGAGTCTTTTTGTGCTTGCTTCAAACTTGACAATAAAATATTGGATGAATTTATATACGATAAACCCTAACTCAGGGTATTAATTTAATTTACTATTTGTTAAAACTATAATATGTTAATTATACTTGTAATTATATAAATAGTACTTATTCACATATATCCTCCTTCTAGAATGATGTAGTTCTTTGGATATATCTCCAAAAGTAAAAAAGTATAGCTGAAGCAAATGTATTAAGCCAGGCATAGTGGCACATGCCTGTAATCCCAGCACTTGGGAGGCTGAGGCAGGAGGATCACTATGAGTTTGAGGCCACCCTGGGCTACAAAGTGAGTTCAAGTCCAGCCTGAGTTATGCAGCAAGACCTTGTGTCAAAAAAAAAAAAAAAAAGTTATAAAATGTAGCCAGGTATTGTGGTATACACCTATGATCTCAGCACACTCTTCTTTTAAACTATTTGGCATAATTCTTTTCTTTTCATTGAATAGAGGGTATGTTACATCCCAGGACAGTACATCACAAACTTAGGTATGTGACTTTCTCAGCGTCTACTTGAGAATATTTTGTTCACTTAAGTTAACTTTGTTTCATTTAACTTGTTTTCTTTTTAAAGACGAAATGTATAGCCTTTGACTCTAAATACTGATGTATTAAAATTTAAAGGATATGTAAATATTGTCCTGCTAAATTAAACAAATTTGAGGACATTTTGAGGAGGAACATTGTAAAACAGCTTTGTATTAATCCTGGGAATTTCTTCATGGCTGCCACCAAAACTTTATTTGGAATGATTTCCTAATCTTGGACCAAAGAAGCTTTTGAGTATTTGGTACATTAGATTACCAGTTGTATTTGTTTTGTTTTGTTGGTACTGGGATCAAACTCAGGACCTTTGTGCTTACGAGGCAGGTGCATTGCTACTGAGCTAAATCCCTGGCCTGATTACCAGTTGTATTTTAGGTTGAAAATATAAACTGTTTCAATTTAGCTGTTTCATTTAATATTAGCTCTTTGGGGAGTAGAGTGGAGTAGATAATTAAGCTTTTTCTTCTTCTTGTTCTGAATTTAGGAAGCTCTGGTGGAATCTGTGAAAAAAGTAAGCTCTATTCTGATGGTAAGAAGAAGTCCTTAAACACTGGAATTATTACCGTCCAGAACTATGGGTCTCATGTACCTCCCAAAGTGTCTCACATAACTTTTGCTCATGAAGTTGGGCATAACTTTGGATCTCCAGTAAGTATTGCTTAACTTTTAGGGTTTTTGGGGGGAGGTTCCGGGGATCGAACTTGGAACTTTACACTTGCAAGACAGGCCAGCGGCACCACTGAACTAAATCCCCGGCCCAACTTTTAGATTTTAAAACATTACTAGCCTTTTATTTTGAGTGATTTTTTTGGTTTACAGTGAAAACAACTGTGCATACAAATGTTTGTGTACCAGAACACAGTAGTATACTCAATGATATTGAAAAAGGAGAAGATAGAATATTTGTGATTCAAATAAGAAATGAAAGCATAAAAAAGAAAATAAATGTATGCATAACAGTGTCGTAATTTTATGAAAGGAATGAATTTTGTCTGGTTTATTTGAACAGAATAATGTCTGTATCTCTTGGTCCTAGGAGAATGTCTAATATACAATGCTTCAGCTATCTTTGAGAATCCCTTTTCATTGTCTAAAGTACACTTATACTCTCTAGCAAATTGTGCAGTGGCTTTTTCCTGTTTTTGTTAAAGCATATTAAGATTTACTTGGATTTATCTTTTTCTGCTGTAGAATATTAGTATTTTAAAATCTTTTATTGTGATAAATTTCTAACACACAGAAGAGTATTCATTTCATCTAAGACAGAGATTAGCAAATTCCTTCTTTAAAGGGCCAGGTAGTAAATATTTTTAGGCTTTGGGGGCAGTATTTGGTTTTTGTTGAATATTCTTCTTTGTTGATTTTACAATCCTTTGACTATGAAAACATCATTCTTAGTTGGCCTACCTGTGAGTCAGAGTCAACAATGATCAAGATTTTTCTGTATCTACTTCGTGTATTTTTTTTGCTAAGTTGTTTAAAGCAAAATAATCTATGCTTATATGTTTCAGTATATATTTCTGAAAAAGTTGGTTTTAACATAGCCACAATGTGATTATTATTCTTAACAAAATTAACAGTGCTCTTTGTTATCATCTAATGCCTTGTTCCATTATATTGATTCTTTTTTGGGGGCGGGTACCAGGGATTGAACTCGTGTCCTTGTGCTTGTGAGTCAGGCCACCAAACCGCTGAGCTAAATCCCCAGCCCTATTGATTCTTAAATGACCTAAAGATCAATACAATACAGAAATAGGAAATACTGAAAGATATTCTATCTTTGTGATTTTGGTAGAACTTCTTTGTTTTTTTGAGGCAGGGTCTTGCTGTGTAGCCTAGGCTGGTCTTGAACTCCCAGCAAACCTCTTGCCTTAGCTTCTCAAGTTAGTAGGGTAACAGGTGTGTGCCCAGCTAGAGCTTCTTAAAGTGATGTGTTTGGGAAAATTTCACTTGGAAGCTGTATGTCAACCCATTTTATTTGTACCTTATCACTTGTAAAATGAAAAATTTTATTATTAAAAAATAGTTTGTAGATCTTGAGGGTGTAGCTCAGTGGTAGAACATATGCTCAGTGGGCACAAGGCCCCAGGTTAATCCCTAGCAACAAAATACAAACACACACACACACACACACACACACACACACACACACAAATAAATAGTATGCTTATGCTTAAAATCTGCAGATGCACATCTCTGATTTCTTCAAGTTTGTAAAATGTACCATTTCAGTAAATTGCCTTTCCTCTTCTAAGTCCCACTCTGAAGTTAAGAGCTTATTATCAGAACAGTACCTGAGCTGGATTGTGGTATGAATGGCTGTAATCCCAGCACTTGGGTGGCTAAGGCAGGGGGTTTGCAAATTTCAGGCTATCCTGGATTTTGTAGTGGCTTTGAGTCCAGCCTGAGGCACACAGCAAGACCCTGTCTCAGAAAACAAACCAAAAGGAACCCTTAAGTTTCTTTGTTTTTTTCCTTTTTTCTTTATTGGTACATTTTAGGTATACAATACAGTTACATTCCTCATTGGGATCTTGTATAGAAACCCTTAAATTTTTGAGGTAAGCAGAGGACTGCTGTTTGTATTTTCAGGTGCAGTGGAGGTCCTCTTTCTGTATTAGCCCCCTTTGGCTCCAGGCCTTGCTGGGGAAGTTGTGATAGTTACCCTGCCCCTTCCCCTGTGTGCTCGTCCAAAGCCTCTCACATTTTGCTGTGCATATAAATCACCCGAGGACCTCAGAATGCAGTTCTCTTTCTGTAGGTCTTTTGTGGGCCTGTGTTTCTGTATTTCTAGAAGCACTGAGGTGGTGTTGCTGCAGACCTGAGGACTACGCGTGGAGTTAGGGAATCCAATTCCCCTGTCACTTTTTGTCTGCTCTTTCCTCGCCCAGATGCTGGCCAGTTGTTTCTAGTATATTAGCGTGTTATTTAGTGTTTATTGTTTGATGGATAAATTGGTGCTCCTTCTTTGCCTACCTTGCTGTGTTTGTTTTTCATACCATACTGTTAATGGCACGTATAATTTTTTTTATAGTGCTATAAGTTCTACTATATGTACATAGTAGCTGCTTATCAGATATTTACTAATTTGTAGTATGATCGGCTGGAACTATATAAATTCCTGAATTTGTCTCCTTTGACATCTGTCCTGAAGTCTTTATCTTCCTGCTGTGCATCTGTACTATGTCAGTGTTACTTTTCTTTGAGTGGTTCACATTGCTTATATTTATTATCCTGTTTCAAATATTCATTGTGTACCTATTGTAAACTGCTTTTATAAGCTTTTGTTATGGAAAGTTGTAATAAAAAATGAGACAACTTTGTCTCAATATGGAAATTATAATCTATACCCACTTTTACCAGATTCACTTTTGTGTAAATATGGTTCTAATTATGCCACTTCTTTTTAAAACCTACTTCTGCTACTTGCTGATAGTGCTGACATGACTATTCCTGATCTTGTCATTTGGAGTTTCCCGTAAGTCAAGGCCCAGTCTGTTTCCCATGTTATCTCCTCCCTCCTCTGTCAGGCACTTCAATCCTTCAGAGCTGTCCTCCACCAAGGAGTCAGTTCCTTCCCTTCTCTGCCTTTGAATTCTTGATCCATGTTGTTCATGTAGTGATTCTACCATTGGATATCCAACCAAAAGAAGTAAATGAAGGATTTACAAAGAGTTATGTATGTTTTGAAAAAAAAAAGTTACATATGTTTGAAAAAAGATCAGTTGCACTTTTATTTTTAATAATAGCAAACATTTTAAACAGCCTAGATGGACTCACAACTGGAAAACACCACAGAATACTCTGCAGTCATTTAAAAAGCCTTTCAGTGGTTTACATTTGAAGCTGAAACACAAATATAGCTGTATATATGTACAGTCCAAATTTTACACTAATGTATGACACAGCCACATACAAGTTATTTAGGAAATAGATCAAAATGTTAATAATAATTATTGTAGGTCATATATTACAATTAAAATTTTTGATCAATTTTTTGATTTTTAAAATTTGTTACAAGAATATTTTTAATAGACAGTAGTTTTTCTGTTTTCTTATCAAAGTAAGATTATCAAGGTTATCTGTTTTCTTGTCAAAGTAATAGTTTCTTTGTGTAACTTTATGCTTTTTTTGGTACTGGGGATTGAACTCAGGACCTTGCACTTTTGAGGCAGGCACGGTGCCACTGAGCTAAACCCCAGGCCCTCCCTGGCACACTTTACTTTTGATTTGAGCCCTCCTTCCGTGTTTGGGTGGTCTGGTCAAAGTGACCTTTTTGTCCTGTTTCATTTGTGTGCTTGTTTTTGTCCCTTATCTGAGGATGGCAGCAGATGTGCTGTTCACAACCCATTCCCCTTCTGCAGCTGCTAATGATTCTCTGTTCTAACATCCTTAAATTAGTTATGCTAGGTAGATAAGGTGACATTTGCTGCTTTTTATGGAATGTGAAAGCCTTGAGGGCTGGGAAAATGCTTGTTTCATCTTAATACTTTTATATATTTTAGTGCCTCCATGTAGCTTTTGACACTATTGACTTGAAAGTGGCAAGATATCCTGTGATGACATTAAGAGTTGTACACTACTGGGATTTTCTCCCCTAAAATTTTAATGGTGAGAATAGTGCTAGTGCAGTACTTTATCAGAAGCCAACTGCACTATAAAGAATGAAAACATTAAAGTAGATAATATTAGAGAATGGTAGAGTTGTTAAATGCTAATTCTAGGTTCTGGAGAAAAGCAGGGGGCATCAGAAAGAATAAAGGTGATAGTAAAGGTCACAGTTTTAATACCGGTAGTTGCCTCAGCCTGGGGAGTAGAAAAGGAAATTGACTTAGACGGACTCCCTTGGGCATTCTGCTTCTTCATAGAGGTAGGGTTGTTGAGTGTTCAAGACAAAATTTTATTTAAATATTTAACATTCGAGAACTAACACTTTTGTCAGGCCTGCTTGTTTTAATGCATATTTCCAGGAAGGCCAGGGCTGCTGGGGTCTGGTGGTGTTCTTTTGCTCAGTCTGTGTTCTAGTCACATGAGTGTTTTTACTTTGGTAAAATTCAGAGAGCCGTGCTTTGGTATTCTGGTACTTAAATGAAATCTGTCAAAATCAAAAGCACTTCTGCACATACACTCCTACACAGAACTTTGTCTCCTGCATTCTGAAAAGCAATATTTTGATTTTATGCTTGGAGTTTTCTTAATTTCATTTAAAAAATAGATCATTGTGTTTTTATCTCCGGTCAGCGTATTTACTTTTCTTATATGAGCTCGCTGTGTTTTCCTAGCGTAGGCATTCAGTATTCTGAATTTTCCACGTAGAACTGCTTTCATTGTGTCCCATAGATTCCTGTATGTTGTACTGACATTTTCATTTATTTGTAAAAACTGTCTGATTTCTTCTTTAATTTCCTCTGTGATCCATTGATTGTTCAGGAGAGTGTTGTTCAATTTCCATGTGTTTGTGAAGTTCCTATGGTTTCTTGTGCTGTTGATCTCCAGCTTGATTGCACTATGATTTGATAATATACAGGGAATAACTTCGATTCTTTTGCATTTATTCAAACCTGTTCTGTGAGCTAGTATGTGATCTGTCTTGGAGAATGACCCATGTTTTGCTTTTCTTATGTACTAGTTCATAAGTTAGCTTAGATTCCTATTCTATGTAAACAGCCCCATGCTAATCTCCTTTGTTTCCTTTCCCTTTCCCCACTTCTGCCTTCTCTGAACTAGTCATAGCTTGTACTGTAGTGTATATTTTAAAGAATAGTTAGTAGTTTTGAAGTATTTTATATTACTATTCCTACTTTTAAAAGTATATATTTAATAGACATTTATGACAGTTTGTCCTCAGTTGTAGTCCCTACTTACAAAGCTGTACATTGTTGTGGCTAGACCTCCATGATTTACCTCCTTCTGGGACAGTGGCCTTTAACACAGAAAATTATTTTCCTGCTCATAATCTAAAACAATTGTAATATCCTTTCTAACAAAATCTATGGCTTACTTTGTTCTTCTGATGAGAAAATTATATTTAATCAGATGACCTGAAAACCCTATTTGATTTCCTGTTTATGTAACTATTCTGTTTGACAGCATGATTCTGGAACAGAGTGCACACCAGGAGAATCTAAGAATTTAGGACAAAAAGAAAATGGCAATTACATCATGTATGCAAGAGCAACATCTGGGGACAAACTTAACAACAATAAATTTTCACTCTGTAGTATTAGAAATATAAGTCAAGTTCTTGAGAAGAAGAGAAACAACTGTTTTGTTGGTATGTATATTTTCCCACTGTTTTATTTTGAATATTTTCAAACATTCAGAAAAAGGATTACATAGTGAGCACCTACATATCCATTGCCCATATTTTACAGTTGTTAACACTTTGCTGTATTTTCTTTATCACATACTTATTAATCTATCCATCCCTCAGTCCATCTTTATCGTTGCAATTTGAAGGTGCAGGCATCTGTCTGTCTTTCCTTTTGGTGCTGGGGATTGAATTTAGGGCCTTGCACATGCTAGCAAGTGTTGTGCCACTGAACTTCATTCCTAGCATATTTTAGTTTTTAAGATGAGTTCTAGGTAAGTTGCTCAGGCTGCTTTTGAACTTGAACCTCCTGCCTAAGCGTCTTGAGTAATTTGGCATTACAGGTGTGCAGCACAGTGCTTGGCTGAGGTTCTGTTTTTGTTTTTTACAAAAGTGAAATGTACAGGTCTAAAGTGCACCATTTGATGAATTTTTAAAATAGTGTGTATGCCATTTATATTCACTCTCTAGAACAGGCATATTCGTTTAGCAAAAAGCAAATCAGTGGTCATAAGGGTAATAGAAAATAAGGAATTGGGAGATTCAGAGTTTCTTTTTCTTTGAAAAAGCATATGGGGTTTTATGGTGATATTTCCTTACACAATTGATCAGTTCTGATGAATGCATTTACCTGTGCAGACGTCTATCATTCCAGAAAGCTTCTGTTTCTCTTCCCAGTCTCTGGCCCCTGCACACTCCCAGAGGTGACTGCTAACTGATTTATTTCACTGTGTAATGATTTTGCCTTTTAAAAACGTGTAAGTGGAACGGTATAGTTGTATCTTTTTGCGGAAGGCTACTTTTAGAGTCGATTCTGAGATTCACGTTGCCTTGTGTGAATGTGTCTTGCCTGCTGTGCTCTTCCGCTCCCCTTTTGATGCGTGCTCACCTGTGCTCTCCAAGCTAAGAATACTAAATTATTTTGTTATTATTATTAAATAGACTTAACATAAAATTTGCCATTTTAACCAACTCAAGCAGTGAACTCAACAGTTCACTGACATTAATTGCTTTCACAGTGTTTTGTAATCATCACTGTTATCTATTTCCAAGTTGTTTCTCAGCTCTAGAATTCCTTATCCATTAAAAAGCTGCTTCCTTCTCCCTTCAGCCCCTCATAACTTCTATCTTACTTTCTGTCTCTGTGAACAGTTAGCCTACTTTCGGTACCTCATCCAAATGGGATCTTGTTTTTCTGTCTGGCTTATTTCACGTAGCATATTTCTAAAGTTTATCCACGTGATAACCAGAGCTCCCCTTCTTTATGGGTATACAATACTGTGTTACATGGATATATCTCTGTTTAATTTTCCACTTACCTGTTTTGCCTCTCTTGTGGCATTTAACATAATGTGTTTTGAGACAAAGTCTCTCTCTCTTTTTTTTTTCGTACTGGGGATCAAACTCAGGACCTTGGGCTTGTGAGGCAGGTGGTGGCAAAACTGAGCTAAGTCTCTGGCCTGGCATTTAACATATTCTAAGTATTTTCTCTTATCTTAAAGTTTTTTCATGTGTTTTTATTCTTTTTCACAAGATTATAAATTACTTGAATACAGATGTAGGTTGCTTCACCTATGCACACAAAGAACACTGCAAGGGGGTCAAATAAGAATCGAAGAAGGTTTCCAGATAAGACTAATATTTTGTTTTTAATTGGAATGCTTATTGAGATAATTATAGGCTCGAGTACGGTTATAGGAAGCGGTAGTTTCTCTGTACACTTCACCAGGTTTCTCCCACTTACGATAGCTTACAAAGCCACAGTGTAGTCATTGACATGTGGGAGCCACGGGTCTTATTCTGATTTTCCCAGTTTTCCTCTCCTTTCTCTGTGTGTATTTAGTTTTATGCAACTTTGTCAGTGGGGGGCTGTGTTTCCCACTGCCCCAGTCAAGGTTCAGAGCAGCCTGGTCCACACAGGTGTGCTCGGGCCTCTCATCTGTAAGTGCCCTTGCCTGTTCTGCTGTGCCTTCCCAGCCCACTGACCTTCCCAAATTTTGTCACTTCAGAAAAGTTATATAAATGGAATCATACAGTATGTAACCTTTTGGTTGCCTTTCTTCACTTGCATAATTCCCTGGAGATTCATGTGAATTGTTCAATATCCTCTCCTATTGCTAAGTATGTTCCGGGGTCTGTATATAGCAGTTGCACATTCACCTGTGGAAGGCCGTGGGGCCCTCTCCAGTGATGGGCTGGTGTGAATAAAGCTGTAAGCATTTGTTTGCAGATTTTTTTGTGTGTGTGAATGTAATTTTTGTTTCTTTGAGATAAATGCCCCCAAATGTACTTAGCAGACCACACAGTAGTAACTCCTGTGCAATACTACCACATGCTTTCCAGGCTGGCTGTGCTATTTTCTCTTCTCACCAGTAAAGTATGAATGATCTAGTTTCTCTCCATTTTCACCACCAGTGTGCTTTCACTGTATTTTATTATTTTAATTAATTAATTTTGGGTACTGGGGATCAAACTCAGGACCTTGTGCTTGCAAGGCAGGCGTGGCACCACTGAGCTAAATCCCTGGCTTTCACTGTTTTATTTAAGCCATTCTGATAGGTATGTAGTGTTTTTTTTTTTTTTTTTGAGACAGTTTCTTGCTGTGTAACCCAGGCTGTCCTCAGTCTTGTGATTCTCCTGCCTCCCCCTCCCAAAGCTGGTATTACAGACATGTGCCATTATGCCCAGCTTACTTTTCATGATTCTTTTGA